TAGTGTGTCCCAGAAGTTGGAACTCTCTGTGAGGTCTGTCTCCCAATTCCAGTGGGACTTTCTGGTCGTTAGGATATCCTTGAAGTACACTGCTGTATACTCTTCGGAACCACTTCCTCCGAAAATAATCGAAAGCAGAACCTATCCGCATACAGTTGTCTCACCTTCGCTTCCACCAAGTTGGGACCAGGGATTCCACATATAGGTGAAGCAGGCAGGACGGTCTGGCCATTCCTGTGTATAAGACCCAGGATAAATGCTTCTTCTCCCAACATAGTGTATACCAATGGTAAAATGAACTTCTCTTCATGTACCTGTTCGTCCGCTCTCCTCGACACCACTCCATATGCAATCGCATATGACCCTTCTCCCTCACCTCCCTAGTTTTGCCTTGGGCCTGCACTTGAGAGTTGAGACGAGCTAGCCTATCCCTGAGCACGCTCTTGGCCACCCTGGTAATCTATCCTCACGTTCTTCACCCTGCTTTCTTCCAACAGTCCCGGTTGCGACGCTCCGATTCCTTGGGGTTGCCTTCCACGCCCCTCTCCTGACCCCTGGCTTAAATAACCTGGGTACTGGTATTAATATTGCATCCCGGGGTATCCCAGTCCTGCCCAATAGCCTTGCGGCGTTCCTCCCAACAAGGGTTGTTGCCACATGGGACTTTGTTGAACGAGCTGCAGATATGGATCACCTTGGCTCTGGTACTGTCCCCACGTCATCGATGTCCTCATATACTCCGCTCCTCCCCCACCGATAGGCAGCCCTCCTACCCTTTCCCCTGCTCCTCCCGTCCCAGCTAGCCTGATTGCCGGTGAGGTGGCTGCCCAAGCATCCGCTTGCTCTCCATTTCCTTGATTTTGGCTTGCTACATGGGACCCTGATCTTGCCGCTCGAAGGTGAACATCCCTCGTCCCTCCTCCTATCAAGTTCGTCCTCCCCGCACCTCCCTGAGGAAGCGCCATGTCCCTAGCCGCTTCTCTTATCCCCCTCTGGAAGACTACTTCCCCTTGGTTCCAACCCCGGTTGCGGTTGCGCTCACCTCCCGAAGTCCCAAACCCCGTCGCTTCTTCCCCTTCCCCCGCTTTTGGGCAACCCTTTGACTCCGTATGATACCACCAGCGACAGCGGGTACACCACGGGGTGTTTTTACACACCAACTCGACGTTGTACAGTTCCCCATCTTCTAACTTCATTGCCAGGGTGGGCTCAAATCTTTCTTCTGCATCCCTTGATAGTTCAAACTTGAGATTCATTAGCTTGGGACGAGCGACATCCGGTTCAGGCGGGTGCTGCAAAATAATTGCCCCCATCGATTGTTATATCAAATCTGGAACATGGAACATTGTCCTCAGAGGCACTCTGATTGCTGTAACCCAAAATGTCGTCTCCTCCTCCTGCCTTCGCCGGTCTTCCAGCTCTGCTCTAGTCAACCAAGGCTTGAAGAGCATCTTGTATTCTACTCCTCTGATAACCACCACGTCCTCTCCTTTAGCCACCAACCACTGCGCTACCTCCCTCGACTTTGCAACATACGACATAACGTTAGCTCCCTCACCATGTACCCGCCCTCTTTTGAAGCCCCTCGAGAACGTCCTACTCCGAAACCATCCGTTCTCATACGCCCGTATGAGGTCCTCCCGCGTTTTCACTGATAAGTCTCTTGCAGCCCCTTGAAAAACGACCGTGACCGTACGCTCTTTGAGCCAGGCAGTTGTCAACTGGTCTATTTGCGGGTTTACCTTGAAGACCTGGATCCCGTTCTCCACGACAAATTCCCCGTGACGCATCCTCTCCGGGAAGACGCCATCCTCGTAACATTTAGCAATGAGGATTCTGATTCGGTCTTCCTCAGACATCTGGAGTTCCTCTCCCGGTGGGTTGTGTTCCTCCCGTTGTCCTTGCCTTTGTAGCAATCCTGAACCCTCCTCCCGATTAGCCATCTCCCTGACCTTCCCCGACTACATAAACTGTCGTTGAACGCTTCAGAGGCGGGCGCCTATCCGGCGCACGCCCTACTACCTGGACACGTTCACACCCTTCACACTTGCTTCACGACTCACGTTTCTTACATGAACAAGACCTGCTGGTTTGACTCGATCGATCAAACAATAGGCCGGGCCGCGCGTCGTAACGTCTCCCTTCCCTCCGGGTCGGTTGCTCGGGAAATGCCGAGCAAGACGACTCCGCAGTCGCGATGGCATCAAGGCGGTGCTAGCATCGCGAAGGCCCGGACCAGCTTAACGCTGG